GGTGCTCGAAATAAAATAACCCAAGTAAGCCATACAGATTGAAAAAAAGTCATATTTAAAGCTAAATATTATTTAATTATTTAAACGAAAATATTAAATTATAACAAAAACCTTTTTTTGTTCCAGGTCGAAAAAATAGATCGAGTATATATTGACATGGTGCTTTACAAAACATACGTCCATTTTCTATTTCCTATTATTAATAATAAAGATAAACTATTGATTAGAATTAGAATTCTTGTTTTTTCTTTACAGAATGAATATGATGATCAGTAAATCTTTTTTTAAAATATTCAAATAAAAAAACCATTATTGCAACACCGTGAAGTGTTACTAATAAAATAAGAATCCATATTCGATAATCATAGGGTTCTATGATATTAATAAACAAAAAATAATTAAATGATAAAATAAATAAGCTATTATACGAACTGAGAAATGCTGTAGTTGAAATATCACCTTGTCTTAAAGATACAATTAAAGCAATACCAGTTTCCATAAGTGGAACACTAAAATCAACAGCTAAATTTCGTTCAGTAGTTACTTTCAATGACGTTAATGTTAAATCAGCTCGATTTTCAAGAAGTTCAGCTATAAGACCATTCCATTTATTCTAAAAAAAAACAAAGAAATTCATTTTTTGTTATAAATATCTATGAATTACCGTTGTTGGATTTCGTGCACCCCATGTTCGATCAAAAACTTGATAAAGTTCAAATTCAAATTTAAGTCGTTCTTTAAGTACATTAAATATATCAATATAAAATCCTGAACAACATTGATAATGTTGTGGATCACTATGATTAGCACCTCTGAATATATATATATAATATTAAAATTAAATAATCAATTAAGATTAATTTTCTTACGAATTTTCTGGACCAATACGACAAATAACTGAACCTGCTTGACATTTTCCAGCAGGAGATGGATCTTTAAGCATAACAAATGGAGGTTCTTCAAGTGTAACTACTTTCAAATAATAAATAACAGGTTTTCCTGGTGGAGGTTTTGAACGTTCGCCTGGCCATTGTATATCAGCTATTGTAAGTGTACTATTTACATATTGACCAACCTATTAAGAAAAAAATTAACTGAACAAAAAAAACTATGCATTAACTAATATGATCAATACTGTTTTCCATTCTTTATCTGGTGTTTGATAATTTAATACAGAATAATTAGCTGCAACAGCTAATCCATCTTGTTGAAAAACTCCATATGCACGTTTAAATTCATCTTTTAATAAACTAAATAAATTTATAAATCTATTCGATAATCTATTTGAAATATTAATTATGTACTTATAAAGATTAGGATATGAATGTTTTAAAAATGTTTGATTAAGTGATTTGTTATCAGCAAATAATCGTCTACATAATGAATGATCACGAGTTAGAAAACGTTTAGGTGTTGTTAAATTTTCATTCCATTGTTTTATTTCATCAATATGTATAATTTTAGAAAAAATATTTATTAAAATAGGTCCAATATCTTTATCAAAACGATTAAGAACAGTATCTGTTATGACAAATTGAAACAATTTTTTTTTAAATATTTAGAAAAAAGAAAATTTTTACCTCGAGTTACATCATTATATAATGCTAAAAACTAATAAAATATTTAATTGAAAATAAAATGATATTTGACAAACCTAATGTTCCAGCAAAGAAATCTACTTTTCGTCGATTTGGTTTATCATATGGATTCATTTTTGGTTCACTTCCCGCACTATATGTTGCTATAAATATTAGAATATATCATTTATACATATCTATATCTATATGGAACAATTTTATACTTACAAAGTACAATAGATGACATAATCCACATATATTCTGAGCCAGTAAGACTCATATTACTTGCTTGTTTAACGATTAATGATGCTAATGTTCTAATGAAAATATAAATTCGTGTAGAAAACAAATAGAATTTACATACGATGTTGTATGTACAATAATAACACGTGTTTCAGCATTCATTAATGATAATTGTTGTCTTATATGAAATGGATTGTTACTTTTCATATCAATTTTCGAAAGTATAGTTAATCTAATTAAAAAATAAATTATAATTTTCTTAAATAGAACTAAAGTATTCTGATTAATAACAAAATCGATTTTAAATTGGAATAGAGAATCTTACTATTATTAATTCGCAGTACTGATCATCTGAGTTAAGTGAGTTTTTAAATTAAGATAAATTAATATCACTGACGATGAAGGCATTGAACAAAATTTCAAGAATCACTTGGAGAATCTTATGAAGGGTCGACAATCTGATTTTCTTTTTTTGAGAGAAAAACATTCGATTTTCCGTTAAAAATAGATTTCTTTCATTATTTTCATCACCGCAGGCCTTCTAAAATATACGCATCAGATATAGTGTGAAAAGACACATCTAATTATTATATTTTGAAACGCGGGCAGTGGTAAAAATATTGAAAGAAGTCTATTTTTAATGGAAAATTTTCAAGTTTGACATTAGAAGATTTTGATAACACTTATTATTCAATAAATCGCGTTTTCGACGAGCTTTCGTTTGATATAAAATGCATTTCTTACTCTATTTAAAACTAAAACAATCTCTTCTTCCTGGAATAATATTATTTTCAACTTTGTAGTATGGGCGGCGGAAGATCAATTCTTTAGGGAAAACAATGCTGCAGAAATTTGTACCGGAGTGCTGTTCAAAATCATATAATCAGCTATGATTCATTTATCTAATTTAGAACACAATTAAATGCTTAAATTTTTAGTCATACTACTAGTCTTGACATTGATGTTATTTTTACAATACTCATGGAATGAACAAACAAACTTAGAAAAATATTTTAAACGAATATTCATTGATTCAGATGATTGTTATTTTCTCCGTATTCCAATCTGACTAATATATTAATAATTATTTTCTATATTCTAATAGTCCTTAGATTAAATAAAGTTAATAAACTTAGAAATCTTATTATCTGATGAGACTAATAGTAAAATTTATTTACTCATATAATGTGATCATATTATTTGTCACGCGGCGTCGATAGATTTCTTAAAAAGACGTTGCAAAGTTTCTCAGAATCTTTGTAAATTGATGGCTCAGAGAAATAAACCTTTCAACTATTATGGGTGGGAGTAAGAAGTGTCAAAACTCCAGTAACCTCCCATCGGGACACTCCTGGAATTAATAATAATAGAACTTTATAAGATATTTACTTCTTTTGTCCTTTGAGATGAGTACGATCACATGAAGTTTTTTTACTAAAATAAATTTTCAATATTATAATAAGAAAACTAAAACAAAATTTACCAATTTCGCTGCTCATTTCCATGTTCTTCAAATTCAGCTATAAGTTCTTCTTCACCAGGTAAACGTGATTCAATAATCAATGAAAATGTATTCCAATCATATCGTTCCATTAATGATATTAAAGCTCGTGCTTCTTCTCTATATGTAGGTGCTAATTGAAAGAATCGAAGACTTGGCAAATACTAAAAAGAAATAAATACTAAAAACGAATATATCATTTAAAATGAATATCTACTTCAGGATGAAATGGATGAAAATAATGAAATGTTAACATTGGATATTGTAAATATGTAAATAATTTAAGAAAAAATATATAAGCAGCAGGTGATGCATGATTTTCATTTTTATAATCATTTAAATAGATTAAAATCATTGGATGTGCTTGTAAAATTGAACAAAAATTATCAATTATAGCATTTACTGATTTAGCATAGACTGTAAAAGTAGATCGTCTAGATAAGAAAAAGAAAGAATTTTTCAAATACAAAAAAAGTCAAGAAATTATTTACATATCAAATTTTCCACATGTTGTTGAATGATTTGACATAAATTGTGGTGATGCAAACATTTTTAATTGAATAAATTTATCATCACTTCGAGATGATAAACTTGCTAATGGAATATTTATACATGTCATATTTGTTAACATGACTCCATGAGTTCGAAGTTTAACATAAGAGAAATTGTTCATAATAATAAACAATAAGAAAAGAAAATACGATGACATTATAATTTTTGTAAAGAACTAAAAACGATGTAAGAACAATATATATATATGTATAAAAAAACGACAAATATTATT